TATTCCTAGTAGTTTAATATGGGTTTTTGCAACGAAATCATAATTTATATGTAAATAAAATTCGTTTTCGCACTTTAAATGGATCTTTTATTTTTATTATTTCTCTACCGGTTTCGCTATTTGTTATAGCATCATCAGGAGTATACGTCAACGATTACAAAAGCATCTTACTAAAGAAGTTATTGGGCATTTCATTTTTTTGGGCCAAAGTTGATTTGAGGTTATATCATCAACTTTAGCGGCAAGGTGCATGACGCCACAATGCTTCACAAAATTTAATCCTTTTTAATCATAATTTTACAAAATTCTCAGTGTAATTTAAAAGTGTAAACACAAAAAATGCCCAATAATTTCTTTAGTAAGATGCTTTTGTAATCATTGAGGTATTCTCCTGATGATGCTATAACAAATAGCGAAATCGGTAGAGAAATAATAAAAATAAAAGATCCATTTAATGAATTTATTGAATTTTATTTACATCAAACATAAATTGGAAAGAAAATCATTAAATAATATCATAATTTATAAGTTAGAAAGTGCTTTGTGAACATGACCTTAAATACCACGTCACGTTATTTGTCACAAAAGACATAAAAGTACCAAATTTGGCAATATAAATGGACAGTTGTGTGAACACAACTGACGGTCCAAGACCAAATAACTTGTATTGAATATTTATTTATGTTTTTGTTTACCTTCATGCGGTTCAAGCCAGACTCAATATCCGTTACTGAAGGCACATTTTGTAAATCGAATTGATTTGCCTTTGACAAAGTGCTTGCACCCAAAGTAGGTTGTCAAAATGTGTGGCATAACATTTAAAGTTCTTGTTCCGCTTGTAAGTAAAGATCTTATTTTAGTAAATCTATCATTCTTGTCAAGGTTGTCACATCAATGTATGTTTGTTAGAGTAAATTCTAAGCTGTCTCTTGATTAAGTGCTTACAACAAACCCAAATATTTGTAGAAATAGTAGGAGGTAAGTTCGTTCTTATGCTAAAAAAGGTAGGCCACGTAACTGTTACTCTCTTTAGTTCCTTTGTATCCCAATCAAATGTTTTTTTATATGCAGAGTTTAAATGGAATATTTCTCTTCCTTTTACTCCTCTTGGTTTCATTGCTTTCCAAGATGAGTTTCCGGTAAATTGTCCATCGTTGTAATCTGCCCCTCTTTTGACTCCTCGTGAGATAGGTCTTGACAGGCAATTTGTTGCATTGTTGACAATTTATCAAATATCAGCACCAGTTTATGAAGCAATAATCTCACTCTAACTCCGCCATCAATTCAGCCAAAAACGAAGCATCGTTCAAAACTCTACTATTTAGAGACTTATTGGAACGATAATGACTATATGGAACAACTAGTTTTCCTTGCCGACACACTCAAATTATAATGTCAAAATAAATGGGAAGATTCGCTTAGTGCGTAAAATCTAATTTCAAACACCACCTAAATTTAAAAGTTGCAGGCGCTGATTCAATCTACAGAGAGCTGGCTGCAGCGATCACGTCAAGTAAACCCTTCCAAAACCTAATTCTTCGTCCCATTTCAATCAGGAATCATGTTCCTTCTCTTATCGTAACTGTCCAATCCACGGTCATATCTCCCGTACCAAACTGCAAATACATGGGAATTTCGATTGACAGAAGATTAAAGTTTCCTGACCATGCCATCAAGGTGAAGATGAAAGCTATAAACCGTGCGAAGCACTTTATATCTCTGACAACCAAGGGATAACTAAATGCGCTGCACATATCTACAAGATCATCTGCAAACCCGATGATCGAATATGCACTGGTAAACCTTTCTGATGCATCTAGTTCTAGAGGAACCAGAAACCAGTTAGATGTGGCGGAAAGATCAGCATGGATCAACAACGAGCAACTATACAATCTTACCGAAATTCCTCAAATCTATCTCCGCCTACAATCTTTATCCCATAATGTTGCCATAAACTTCCCTATTGATACCTTAAAAACCTGTTTATCACAACCCAATCTCGCCACCACTCCCTTCATCTTATTTATTACTTACTTATTTATTTATTGTTCTCTTTCTCTCTCTGTCTCTATATTCAAAATATTATAAAAATGGAATATCAAAGTCAAATTTATTAAATTTGACATTAAAATGATAACATTTTTGAATAATAATACTTTTAAGTACATTCATATATTGTATAGAAATAATTAATTTCTTAGTCTTGAATGATAAATGAACCTCCTTTTTCGTATCTGTTATAATAATGTCAGATTACCAGACAATGAGCTTGCGGTGATTATTATTCGCATCATGCAATATTTCTTCTCGTCCTACGACCTTAATGCAAAGTTTAACGGCCTTATACTAAGAAAGATCAGTATCGAAGTTTTTACATTTAATCATTCCGATTTCTTCGCGCAATTCTAAAGACGCACGTGTGCGACTATTGGTCAAACGGGCGTGTTCGAAAACGATTACAGCTATTAATTGACCAATTTCAAGTACTAGCTCGCAATTTGTTCTCGGATCGTCGCTATAAATATTAATTCCATCCTTCTTATGTAGAAGACCGCGGATCTACTTCGGTATACACCAAGCGAACCAATTATCCGAACATTTTCAAGATGTGTTGTTTTTTTGATATCACATCATCACATCAGGAAGAAAATGTTTTTTCAAAGTCGCCTAAGTTTCTGTAATATACGAAAAGGAAGCTGAAACTCATTACAGGGGATTACTTAATATTCATGGCATGTCGATTGGGTTCGAGTAATAATTTAAAAAATGAGGGATAATGAAGGAAACGAGAGCGATACAATTTGTGTTTTAGGTTGTAATTTCGAGAAATCACTTGGAAATACACCAAGGAAATATAGCGTAGCCAGGTGGGTAAGGTCAAAGTGATGAATCGTTTAATAATGGTAATCGGTGTACCAGCTTAGAAATCCAAGAAGCCGTTCCAACGCCTTGTAAATTTCGAAACTGTTGTTGAACAAAATTAATTGACTATTTAACAATTTAAATTTTAGAATACTTGTAATAAATGAAATTCTTAGATATCTTGGTGATGATTTGTTTGGATTTTTTTTCCTTTACTAGAATGGGACACGAATTGAAAGAGGTGTAAGATGTTGTTAGTCAGTCGGGTTGGTTTGACAATTAGCAGAGTGTGTACGGTAGTTTGTCTGTGGACGGACGTCACGCCTCACTTCTCCGACGCCGGACGCCGATTGGCCGCAGTCTTTTTACACACCTCCAGTTCTCATTTCGTGGCGGACAATTCGGTGATCTACTCGGCTTGGTCGACGACTGGATTTTTACGGTCGTCGTGAGCTCGGCCCCCAACCAATTACACTTTTTTTCACTTTTCATTGGACAAAACTAGTATTCTTCTTGTATTAGTGTACATTATTTAATCTGATTTCCAAGTTTTAAGATACCAACTTTTAAGTTGTTTTGATGATATGGAGAAGTATAATAAATCATATGGATTCTGTAGGGTAAAACAGCAATCTAAATTAATATGACAAAAAATAATTGACATATTATGAGTCATCGTAAAACAAAAGGTTTGTTAGAGAAGTTTCTTACAACAGATACAAAAGATTGTGTTAAGGTTCTTTGTTATCATCGGAATGCTAAGTTTTACGTCTGTCAAGTTGGCACTACATCTTGCGATTTGAATAAAAAAAAAACTATTGCATTAATTGTCGCTTAATTTGTTGTAATTTGTCGTAAAGTTTACAAATTTATCATTTTTTTTTTATAAACAATATTTGAAATATTGCATTTTTGAGGTAGTGCTAACTTAACAGTGGGAATATATGGTAAAGAGTGGAGATAACAAAAAACTAAAGACGTCATTAACTGTCGCCTAATTTGTTGTAATTTGTCGTAAAGTTTACAAATTTGTCGCGTGCTTTTTTATGAATAATTTTTGAGGTATTGCACTTTTGTAGTAATGCTAACTTGGCAGTGGGAATCTATGGTAAAGAGTGGAGATAACAAAAAACTAAAGACGTCATTAATTGTCGTTTCATTCATTGTAATTTGTCGTAATGTTACAAATTTGTCGCGTCCTTTTTAACGTATAATTTTTGAGGTATTGCACTTTGAAGGCATTCTAAACGCACTTTAAATTTTCACCCACGTCATCAAACGTTACTAAGGATTGGTATAACGTCATATTAAAGCCACAATTGACCAATTACAGTATTCCATTTACACATATAAGAACAAATAACTAATAAGATAAAATGTTATTTTATTAAAAGTAAAATAGACACGGTCTTTCGGAAGTTTCTTACTGCACAATATATACAGGGTGATTCACATAAGAACCGACGCAGAGCAGGGACATATAGAGGACGATAAATTAAGATGATTTAACGTAACTTACCTCTATACTAAGTTGTATACCTCCTCAGGAGTTATAGGCCTTCAAAGTTGGCTCTTAAGTTTTCAAAAAGTTCAATATCTTTGTAATACATTAAGCTAGAAAAACCAAATTTGGTATTTGTTATGAGTGTATCAAGAGTATTAATTGGTATCGACAGCAATAATTTCATTCAAAGCGATTTGATCAAATTTTTCATTAAATAGTAATTGATCTGTAGAATCGTGGTAGCAGATAAGAATTCATCTTCAGCGAAAATATTCTCGTTCACGGGATAAAGTCCACTAACTTCAAATCCCTTTTGAATGTTAGAAGTGGTAAAAGCTTTTGGAAAAGCTTTACCCACAAGTTCAGCTATGTTATATATTGAAATGGCTTGCCCTGGATTCATAATCAACCATTCGTTACAGGCAGTGTTGTAATAGGTCTTCATTGGCCCAAAAACTGTTCTGTCGAGTGGTTGTATTTTGTGGCTGGTATGAGGATGAAATGTTATCAAAAGAATTCCGTTATTCTTGCAGAAATCAATGGCGTTGACGTTCACGGGACTATCATGGTTATCCAAAAGTAATACGACAGGATTTTCAACTGTTGGTTTGATATGATTTTTAAAGTGTTCCAATTATTTTAAAAATAGCTGTTCGTTTGACCAGCCGGATGGATTGGCAGCTCCGATACTACCAATCGGGCAACTTTTCAGCATATGCAGTTTAAAATTGACCCTCGGAAATATCATCATAGGCGGAATATGATTTCCAATGGCATTGATTGAGGCGATCATTGTAACATTTTGACCCCGTTCACCACTAGTCATTTGGCCTAATTGTTTTATTCCCTTAGGTCCTATAATTTTTGGTGGAACATGAATAGTTGTTAGACCGGTTTCGTCACAATACCAGATTTTTTCTGGAGTAAAATTGCCACGTGATAGAAGTTCTTTATAATTTTAAAAAAATGACGATATATTTGTTTTATTGAAAGATGTTGATCTAGCCAAACTTGTGGATTCGGGCTTTCGAAGTGATAAATCTTGATGTCTTCTGAGAAATTGTCTCAACCATTCTTTCCCAGCTACTTTTCCTATGTCCCAAGAAGCCGGATCGGATTTTGCATTTGCAACAGCATACAGGTATGCTAAAGTACGAACTTCTACTTTAGTCAATCCATAATGCAGCCGTGCAGCCGTTAAAAGATACTCTTTCAAGGTGGATTCCTCCTGGCTACTAAAAATTTGTTTTGTGTTATTACTAGCTTCATATCGAAATACTGTGGCTCCCGATTCTTTATAGGATTTTACGTGCCAAATCAGCGTGGTTTTAGATATATTAAAGGATTTTGCAGCTTCCCTAATTGATAATCCACCGCTTAAACACTGTTTCGCCGCCGCAATTAAATGTTGAGAATTTATAGGTGCTCTTTTGACACCTGATTTGCTTCGAGGCATCCTCAAATATTTATCTGAAATAATAAAACTTAGTTGACTTCAGTTGATATTTTCCCCAAGTATTGAAAATAAGTTGTAATAGTTCTAGTGTTAGTTCTCATTTTAGTTCAATTCTTCATAATATTGTACCTTGGTCCGGTCCAAGGTACAAGACCTTTTGGTGACCCGAGGTACAAATTTGTATAAATTAAACTTTTCTACGCTTTATAATTTTAGGTTATGCATTAAACAAAAATTACATGCGGATTCAACAAGCCTACTTAAACTTTGATTAAAAGTAGCTAGGATATGCAAATATATAACATGAAAACGGGATGATAACAAATTACAGAAACAGAAAAATTTACTTTTACGGGATAGACATTGACTTAACAAATCACCATAAACTAATAGAAATAGAGATGGCGTAAGTTTTTTTAAGTCAAATAACCCGAGGTACATACCGGTCCGAGGTACAACACTCTCCCTAACGAATGGCACGATTTTTGTTACCTTACTATTACAGCACTCAGTCGCTTTAATTAGAGAAGGTTGTTTAACACATAATTTTTCAAACAATGTGACAATATTCACTGTTCCATCTATGTACTGAATGCCTTTTTTTAATGTCCATAGATTTAATTATAGCGGCTGCCCTTATATTATATGTTTTTTTTATTATTTTCATTCTAATTCAAGTATATGCAATGACGTTAAATAAATATTTTTTTTCTTTTTCTTCAATAAAACACTCCTTTATGTGTGGAGTATCTACAGCAGCAGCAAGTAAAATTTGGAAAATACTGTCAAATCTGCAAGTATTGTTTATTATTAATTTAGATTGCCTATACGCTATGAGATCAGTACCCAGGCGTGATCCATTATTTAAAATCGGGATTTGTCGATGTTTTTCAAACATTAAAGAATCTTTTAATCCTTGCTTATTGGAACCTAAATACTTTCCTTTCCTTGTTTTCTTAAGAGGCGTTCCATTTCCTTTCCAATTTTCGCATGGTTGAAGCGCTAATCTGGCGAACTTCTGATCATCCTTTAAACAATTCTCTTTTTGTCATAGTCCCCTTCATCGCTGATCAATTCACGGCATTGACGATGCATTTCACATTTACATAAAACGCAGATGAATTCAAGATTTGAAAATTTTTCACACACTACACATTTTTCAGCTGCAATTTTTATAATTTCTGGAATATTTTCTTTATCATCTGTACATATATGTTCTATCTATGCATAGATAGAAATTCACTATGGTTCGATATTTCACAAATACTTTCTTTTTCCTGATGGGTATCTACGTTTCTGAAGCATATTTTGCCATATTCATCAGAACTTGAAAATTCGTCATTGATATTAATAGTGCATTGACGATTATTTACTATTTTTTTTTGTCCGTCGGATACCAATGTTTTATTCGATTCGGCTTCGAATATCGTCAGACGACCTTTATCTTGTTCAATCATTGTTTCAACAAATTTTACGACAAATTACAATAAATTAAGCGACAATTAATGACGTCATTATTTTTTGTTATCTCCACTCTTTACCATAGATTCCCACTGTGAAGTTAGCACTACCTCAAAAATGCAATATTTCAAATATTGTTTATAAAAGAGGACGCGACAAATTTGTAAACTTTACGACAAATTACAACAAATTAAGCGTCAATTAATGCAATAATTTTTTTTATTCAAATCGCAAGATGTAGTGCCAATTTGACAGACGTGTTAAACAGCAATCTAAATTGATATGACAAAAAATAATTGACATATTATGAGTAATCGTAAAACAAAAGGTTTGTTAGAGAAGTTTCTTGAAACAGATACAACAGATTGTGTTAATGTTCTTCTTCTTGTTGTGGGTTGTTGTGTCTGAATTTATTTTATTTGTTATTTTATAGCTTTCCAGTCCTTCAAGTATATTTCCTTTGTTTTTGTAGTGCAATATTGAAGTGTTTCTCTTTCCGCCTCTCCTATATATGTAGCTTTGCACGTGCCACATTGTTATCCAATTTATCGATTTTGTAAATTTTCAGATTTGTCATTCATTTCAGTAAGCTAGGAGTTAATAAGTAAGGAAAATCTTTTTCGTCGCAAGGGGTTTGTAACGAATGGGGTTTTGTCTACTATCTGTATAACTCCTTATTTCCTTGCTAGATGACATCAGTTCCCCTTTACTTAACAGAGCGAGAACGACGCAGTTCCTGGTCCTTCTTTCACCGATGCGATACCATATTTTGTAATCAGATAGGAGTTATCAGTTATGTTTTGTTTGTTTACATTATTATAAATGCAATCTACGATTAGGATTTGATTCGGATTCATCGAACGGCTGTAGATAAGATAGTAATAATAGTGATGCGGAGATTGAAAGTAGAAGTAAAGAGAGTATGGCGAAGAAAAGGAACTAACTATAAGAAAAAAATTTTAATATAAAAGGAAACACATCAGTAAGAAAACAAGATGTTCCCACTCATACTATAATCAAATACCAATACCATTGTTTTATGGCAATTAATAGCCAATGAAGAAAGCAATTGCATAATCATTTCATTTCAATGGGTTTGAATCGACGCATTCAAGTATAGAGGTGAACGAATATCCAGGAAATTTCAATTGTCCTTCATATTCAGATGTTAAGAAAATATTCGAGTATGTTGAAAATGTTTTGCATCATTGCGAGACAGAAGATTCATAATCACATAGACGTTTTCTATCAGACAAAAAGAATTTTCAGCCTAGTTTAAAATTGCTCTTAAATTTAGGTTCATCTCCATGTATTTACATTTATATTAATGTTTGTATGCATTTATGTATTTGGAACACGTATTAAAAATTTAAATCTGTAATCTAACCAACACTACTCTTCGACATTTTTTGTTAACAAGATGGAGAGATACTTCTTGCCTATAAAGTAACCGGAAACTTGCGAAATTTTATGTTAGAATAGAATAAGACTGGAAACAATGAACACTTATTATACTCACCAATGTCAACGGTAAATCAACGGTAAGTTAATAAAAGAGCCTGATTTTCTTACTAAGGCCATCACAGTCCCATGCTAGAACATGGTAAGTATAGCTAATGTTTGCACGGTGATGTCTTCCTAGGATTGTTTATTTTCTATCACAAGTGGAATAATCTATCAATAAGTAGTATCCACTATTGTTGCAAATAATGGCATTAAACTATCATTTGTTACAGATAATTAAACTATCTTCCTCTCAATAAAAAGTATCTAAAGATTTGTGACACATTCGGTAAGATGTAACTTATACGTCATCTTGTAAAAGATACCACAGATTTATCTTGAGCCAAATCCGATTCTCTGGCAAGGTCTTTATTTATTAATCAAATTTGGTTCTGCATTAGTTGTAGTTGGAATTTGAGATACCTCTCCACTATAATAAGGTATAATATGAAGGTT